GCGAGTGCAGCGCGCGGCCCTCTTGCAACGAGTTGAGCCGAAATAGGGTGAAATCCGGTATTCGCGTAATGTTCAAGCGCTTTTACACCGTGCACCATGGAGACACCATGCGGCTTATACTAAACGCGGACCAACGAGAGGCAGATAGACGCACGGGAAAATTAAAGGCAGGGGAAAAAGGAAGAGAGAACGAAAACGCACTGAAAGTCTGCTCGTTATCGGATTACTTTTTGCTCCATTTTCAAAACTTTCACTCGGGCTTTGCCTGCGAATCGAAAGCACGGCGAATATTTAATTATTGACCGTGATAACCTTACTGGTACACGTACCAAAACTTGCCGAACTTTAACTTCAGTGCTTCAGTATAAGCACTATGAAATATCCTTACCCTTATGCAACTGACATTGGAACTTCTAGTACGAGATGTTTCAAGATGGCGTCGATAGTCAACGATCGAGATCGTGGATCGAAGTTGCAAGGGCGAATGGAGGGTCTTCGAATGGTTTCTTGATGTTTAGAATTTTTGTGATACGGAATAAGTAGGGGTGCTGTTCAAGGAGTGGATGATAGTCGTTCACTTTGCCTAACTTTGCTTTTAATCCTTTGCACTCGACAATTTTTTGGTTAAAGAAAAGTAGGAATTCCAAGATTTTCTACTATGAAGCTGGCGATATTTCATTGAGCAGTAAATAAGAAATAGTATAATCATTGACACATAGAATTATTTGATTTCGATACCTCGCATACCGTTATATTATATTAAATTTGACATATTAATTAATATCGATCTTCGAAATTTTATATTGAGCAGTAAATAAGAAATAGTATAATCATTGACACATAGAATTATTTGATTTCGATACCTCGCGTACCGTTATATTATATTAAATTTGACATATTAATTAATATCGATCTTCGAAATTTTATCAAATGACGACTGAAGGGCGCCTCTTGAAAGCAAAGGGTTAACAGTCTAAGACAGGATAAGCTTCGTCTCTTCTTTACCTGATATTACACCCAAGAAGAATCGACAAATTTTTAAAAGCGGAAAAGAATTAGAACAACCGAATTCTGATTCTACGCCAGTACTTTATCACACCGATTCTTTGTATCGGATTCTACGATATAGAGCAGGGGTGTACAAATCGTGGTTCACGAGGTGGTACTTTCCTAGATGTTTATTCTGGCTGCTTGGTTCTTAAATCGTGTAATTATACCTGAAAAGCAATCGTACATGTTAATTAATATTTCATGAAAATATTATTACAATAGAGAATACAGCTCGCGGCTATTTCTGATACAGATATGGCTGCCGCCACTGGGTGTTTCGACTACCCCTATTATAGACCGTAGTATATTTTGTCTCTCATTTTCTCGTATATAATCGCAATTACAGGTGCATCGCTCAGCCAATAACGAAAATTTGTGTCCCCTATCTTGACGATTCATCGAAAATGGTAAACCCATGACCAATCAGTCCCGCATTTCATCTCCCATCCTTCTTCTCGTCAACGAATAATATGCGAAATTGCCGAACGCCGGTTTGACAATGGAATTACTAATGGAATATGCCGGTACACGTTCTCTCTTTTTCGTCCAACCGGTCCTCCTTCCCCGACCCTTGCCGGAGTTCCGTTGGCGCAGGTACAGCTCGATACTTTCGAAGCTTTTTGCGCGGAAACTTTTGTTCATTTACGATACAAGCGGACTGTCGGCCGGCGGTTCTCGTTATCCATTACATACCGGCACAATTACGGAAAGTTTCGGAAAAGCAATGGGGATAGGGCGGCTCGAAAGGAAATTCCTCCCGAGCCCGGCCGCCTTTTTTCCTCGCTGTTTTAGATGAACGATCGTGCTACGGGCTCCAGCCACGAAGTCGGAGAAGAAAAGAGATGGGGAAAACTGATTGGAAGAGTGGGATCTATGCAATGTAGACAATGTAATCTCGCGTTGCTTGATAAATCGATCAAAGGTATATTAAAGTACCAGAAAGTGAAACGGATCTGTTGAAACGACTTATCGATAGGATCTCTCGAGGAGATATATTATACTCTTTCGTTATGCACAATGACTATGAAGCAATACATAGGGTGAGCAAGCTATCGAAATTTCCATTCTCTAACGGTATATTGTATTATTTTAGTCGTAATATATCGTGTTTCTAATTAAATTTTGAATCGTTGTCTCTTTCATTTTATAATATTTTCTACTTACTTATGTTATTTAAATTACGTTGTTTCCTTAGAAATTCGCCTACAGAAAGAATAAACTAGCATCACAGGCGACTAAATTAATTCCGAGTCCAGTTGAGCCCACGCAATATTTATATGTAGGATTTTTGGCTAAATTAATCCTATGCAGACAGAGTTCTGCGCGTCTAATAAACAACAACTCTCTTTTTATAACAGAACAGGTTTTATTTAACTAAAATATTACACTAAGTTTCCCACACAATCCTTTATTCACTACGCTTCTGCCACACACATTCAGCCTTCTGCCTTCTGGCTTCTCTCTGATCTGCCTACTCTCAACTAACCTAAAGCCGAAACTATCTCTTTTTATACACAGGCTTTCCTTCTCAATCATTCGGCATAGTCGCAGACATCCCGACAAAAGGATTTCACGCTATCGTTTGTTCTTTCGCCCTGAACGCCGAGTAGGACCCGATGCCGCCGTTCGCTATCCATCGCTTTTCGAAAAGCCGCCCAAACGTGTCCATGCACCCCCTTAGAAGTAAGACCGCACACCCATTCGTCTCGCTACTACTCTTAACCCTTTGCACTCTAGAGGCGACTCTCAGTCGCCATTTAATCAGATTCTGAAGATCGATGTTAATTAATATATCACATTTAAAATTACCCAACGATGCGTGGGATATCGAAATAAAATGATTCTACGTCTTAATTTGTATACGATTTCTTATTTACCGTTTTAAAAATATCGTCGATTTTATGGCAGAAAATCTTCGAATTACTATTTTTCTGTAACGAAAAAGTCGTCAAGTGCAAAGGGTTAATACTTTGTTCGTTCCCTTCATCGCTCGCCATCCCACATATATTTGTGTCACGAAAGGTAGAGAAGGCTTTTCCGCCACCATTTTATGTCTCAGTTGTAATATTGAAAAATAATATTTTTTATAGTGAATCTTCGGTCAAATTCTACATATTCGGATCTCGCGATCATGATCAATCCACCATGCGAAAATTAATACAGATTTTGATAATTATCGAGGAAAGAGGGGCGAAGGGGAGACAAGAGCGAGGGTGAAAGCCGCGAGGAGAAGTTGGTTGACTTTCGCTTAGCGTGCCTGAAGGAAGGAAAACAACGTGCGCGATGGGTGCAGTGAAGAGGGGTGGAATTTAATCAACTTTCGTTTTTGTCTCATAAATCTTACACGCGCGTAAACACTGTCCGAGCCGGATGCTATAATCGTTTCTCGATCGTTTCCCTGTCACGCGGCCGCTTCATTTGCGCTTATCCTTCGGAGGCTGTCGATTAAAATTTACGGACGCGACGACGAGACGCGATCAATGCGAACGCCCTCGCGCTGTTTCCACGATCACGAGACTTTGCTTACCCCCTGAAGCCGAGCATAAATTAAGCTGGAGCGAGTAAGGTAAAAAGATAGTGGCGAATTTTCACGCTGTCTAAAAGACATGAAGCAAGGAATTTCCATTTATGGCAATAAAACATTTAATAAAAAGGGAAACCAGGAAAGGGAGGAAAATCGTCTCAAGCACACCGAAAAGGCTGCGAAATCGTGAAATTTCGTTTATCTATTCAAAATAAGAAATAGCATATCTGGGATTGCGGTATTAAAAATGTAGGGCAAAATTGGGATTAAAGAAATCAATTCCGCGAGGTCAAGGAGTATGAACGAACTCGTAAAAAAAGCGCAAGGGACATAAAAAGTACGAAGCCACGTAGAATATTTTTATACAGTGGGAGTTTCATTCTCCACGGTGAAACGTCTTATACGAGTTTTACGATTTCCTGCGAAGCGTCGGAAGAACTGTCTGTGAGCGCAATAGCGATACTAACCCGTACAACGAATCGGTTGGAAATTAGAATCGACGTGGGATGACGGAGAATATCGAGGCGACGCCTGTGTTAAATCATCCTTGCCTACGTGCTCGATGATGCCGCGTTTTCATCGAGCGTCTTCCCGATTATTACAGGCTACGAGCCATTGAAAGCGGACACATGTCCATAAATCCATCGCCTTCCCTCGATGCTGTCCCGAGGACACCATTCGCGTACTCCAGTCGCGATATCGCGCTTTAATCCTTTGTACTACGCTAAAACTCGAAAGAAGCCGTGTCAAACCCGTGCGCCCGAATGAAACACGATATCTTACGATTGAGTGCGAGGTAGCCGCGTGCACATTCGAGATATTCATACTTGGCCTGAGATTAAGATCACGAGCCAGACTCGAGATATACATGTTTGGCCTGAAATGTCGATAACGAGTCAGGCTCGTGATATTCATGTTTGGCCCGAAATGTCGATCACGAGTCAGACTCGTGATATCCACGTTTGGCATGAAATGTAATAACGAACCTGACTCGTGATATTCAAGTTTGGCCTAAAATTTTCACCACAAGTCATGCTCGTGAAAATAGTGCAAGGAAATAACGCAAGTTAAAAGAGTAAACTCGTTGCTATTTCCTCGTACGCCAAGTATCACTGTATATCTTCGTTACCTGCTTGATTAAACCACCGCGGGCACTGTGCCTTCCGGAATTATAACGAATATTCCCCTAAACAGCCCCCACGGACGCGGGAGTTCAGCGGAACCTCCTAAGAAGTACGTGTAATGCGGATATTAAGAAAAATTGTGGAACTCCAAACTTCAGCCCTCGCGCGGTAATTCAATCGCGTCGCAGCCTGAGAGGAAATTAACCCCTGACGAGAAAATTTCGCCAGACTCGTGATTACCGGTCACTCGTAATCTTTTCCCTAATTTCGTTCGATTTTAATATTTTCGTTTCCGTTCTTCTGTCGCAGCGTCAAAATCGAACCTGGTGGTGGACATCGAGCCAAAACGACAGACAGCCGTGAAACTAGGAGAGAGTCTGCAAATTTTGTGCAGAGTCGGTAGACCACTTCGAGTCTGCCGTGTCGAGATACCTGGCGAGGATAGTGGTATGGTGTTGTCTAAGGGGCAATTGCCCGAAGATGGTATCGAGTACTATGGAGAGGGTACCGAGGCGGGCCAATGCGGGGTTCACATCGCCAAGATCAAGGAGAGCCACGACGGAATATTCAAGTGCACTCTGACAACCACCGATAGTCGAGCGGAGGCCCAGGCATCCGTGAAGATCATTGTGGCCAGTATGTATAGTTTTCTTATTTACTCTAACCCCGATCGAACTTCTGATATTTTCACGTCGTTGCGCGGAGTTTGAGGGCAAACTTCCAGAATTCAAATTTCACCACTGGCATTAGTAATTCAATTTAATTTAATCGGTTCTATTTAATTCGACCTAATTTCATTTCATTTTAGTTAATCTAATCTAATTTAATTCGATTTAATTTAATTTAATTTAATTTAATTTAATTTAATTTAATTTAATTTAATTTAATTTGTCGAGTTAAATTTTCGATCCAAGAAGGAAAAGAAAAGGAATTTTCTTATGGCAATAGTTATAATAATAACTTGCTGTTTTTTTACATCGTGAAATAGAAATCGAGAACAGACTTTTGGAATTCTAATTCGGCGAATCGGGTTAGCGATTTCGTTTAATTTACCTCGCGAAATTTTTCGATTCGAGATTGGGGAAAGGAAAGCTATTCCCCCTTACTTTTTCCATCGTAATTCTTTACCTCGTTGCGCAGAAGTTGAAGACAAACTTGCAGAGTTCTAATACCACGACTAGCGTTGGCAATTTCATCCGACTCGCCTCGTGAAATTTTTCAATCCGAGATTAAAGGAGAAAAGCTATTCTTCTCCAAGATAATCCCGCGCGTGGGATAATAGATACGTTATGATTCCCAAAGAGATACTCGTTTCGTATCGATGCATCACGAAATTAATGAGAAAATCGGTGTGAAACTTCATGACGTTAGTTGGCCGAGGAAAGTATTCCCTTGTAGAGGGAAAAATATTACGACGCTGTGTACGTGTGGGAGCATTCGAGGGCTAATTAATCTTCGTTAAGAGAATTGCTTACGCGACGGGGTGGGGGGTGGAGGAAGGCCGAAGGGAAATTACCGTTTTCAGATAAAGTCGATAAAGATAAATGACGTACGCGGACCATGATCGAGAGCTGGAGATGTTTCGAGCGAATTTAAATAAAGATCGGCAAGTTTCCTTCTTAAACGAGAGAATTAACGAGGTTCGACGCAGCCAGGCAATTTTAACGCTCGACGCTCGATAAAAAATTCAACGTCGTTCTTGCTTCTGCAGAGTAATTAATGCCTGCTACCCGATTTGCAGAACCGCCGAATAATCCGGAGCTTCACTCTAGCCATGGCGCGCACGGAAGGAACATATACAGGAAGGGAGAAAAATTGGAAGTGAGTTGCAGCGCACCAGCCGGACGACCAGCGGCGAACGTTTCTTTGTTCCTTGGTAATTAGTCGTCGAAACGGAGATATATTTCGCGAATTTCTTGCCGAAGATAACATCCTACTTATTTCTATTCGTTTCTTATCTTACCAGACGACGAGCCCATTGGCAACGAGGAGAGACCTACGATTTACGACTCGAACGTGGACGACAATTCGTTGGCTGTACAGAACGCATCGCGCACCTTGGATTGGACGGACAATGGAAAAATTCTCAAATGCATCGCCAGTCACATCGCCCTCGACCAGCCTAAAGAAACTACCATGCAACTGCTAGTGTACTGTAAGTGATCGGCAATTGAAAGCAACGAGTGTTCGAAGAAGTTTCAGATGAACGATTCACGCGACCAAACTATAATTTTATACCTTCTTTCGTAGCGAGAAATGCGAAAGATTAGCTAGAGAATAAAGAAACAATAGGGAGTATGATTGATAGAAAATTTTAACCCTTTGCGGACGAATGCCGCATATATGCGTTCGGCGGAAACCATCAGTTTGCCCGAGGGACTCATAAATGTGTCCCATGTAAACGCTATGGCCCAGAATCACATATATATACTCGCTGTTGCGGCCCTAGGATCGCAGGTTCCAAATAGTGGACTGATTTACGTCCTTATTGCTAGTGTCGCTATGAACGAAAATCGCATTTAACACGTTAAACGTCACATCGGTTTTACGTGCCGTTCCGTTCACGCCACGGTTAGCCGTTATGCGGACCCTTCCGGGCCATACGGACCGACGAGGCCTGAACGGAAAGTCTAGTGCCGGTCCCTAGGGACCGTCGTGGCGTTTAACGTGTTAAGTAAAAATGGTAGTTTTGAATGACTATCGCGGCAGCGCCTCGACCCCACGCTACGGTTTACTCAAAACCACCCCGTCTGCAAAGGGTTAAATAGAAAATCAAAGGAAATTTTTCTGTAACAGATGAATACGAGAGTTTAACACTTTGACTGCCACGTTGGTCATATATGACCGGCCACGGTTTCTCCCATGACGCCACGGTGGTCATTAGTGACCGGAGCGCTTGTACTACTTTCACTACATTGAACTACATCAAATGAAAATTGACAGTTAGTGCATTTCGAATATAACCGCTAATTAGAAGATACTTTGAAATAAAATGTGCCCCATTGAACAATTAAAAATTTTTATTAGAACAGCAGAAACATATTAGAACAAATCTTGCATCCAGTGGTGTATTTCACGTGGTGTCCTAAGGGAAACATGTGATTTCGGCGTGGCAGTCAAGGGGTTAACCAAAAAAAATGTCTTCGACGAATATTAATTTATAGCGATTAGGAATAATCGGAATTGTTATATAGAAAGTTTAAATTCTGTCGTGAAATATCCCACGGTTTTATCAATATGCGATTTTCGCATGCAAAAATTATGTTCCACAGTTAGGTAAATAAATTATTATCGTAAAGGTCCTGAAAGGTCTGAAAGCGAGAAAAGACGAATTGAAAGTTACTCGACCGTCTCGAGACAGTAATTTGCTCGGTGTAAATTAAAAATCTCGCGTGAATACGAATGCTTGAAATTTCCTACGTTCATCCTGCGACTTCTGGAATATCTAACGTTGTTAATGGTCTGTGACATGGCGGCAAGTTTCTGTAAGACTTGGAGCGATTAAAGCGAGACATCTTTTTTCCCGCAGATCCTCCTCAACCGCAGCCAACCATCGAGCGTTTTGGATACGTAATTGGACATCAAGGGATCGTAAACGTGACCGTTTACGCGAATCCTAGGCCGCGTTTCTTATGGCGAGTGAACGATGAAAAGATCACCGAGGGTAGTCCAGACGAGAGCAACCGTCTCGAGACCTCGACCGCTGTGGATCTGGTAAATTAATTACTTTTATATACTTTCAATCGAATTAATATTGCACGTTTTACCATAGTTTTACCACAGTTTTACCTCGACGCGTCTCAGAAAACATCCAGCGATTGAACAAGTCAAATGACCGATAGATGAAAACATAGAAGAAGACCTTTAAAGAAAAAAGACGTGAGAGAGAAGATCCTGAAAATATAATTTTACGCATATCAGAGGAAAAATCGAGCAATCGATGCGATAACGTTGAATCAGGAATTTTTAACCCTTTGCACTCGGCGATCTTTTCGTTACAGAACATAGTAATTCGAAAACTTTCTACCATAAGATCGACGATATTTTCAAAACGGTAAATAAGAACTACAAATTAATTGTAAGACGTAGAATTATTTTATCTCGATATTACACGCATTGTTGGGCAATTTTTAATTCGAGATATTAATTAATAATGATGTTTAGAAGTTGATTAAATGGTGACTGAGAGTCGCCTTTCGAGTGCAAAGGGTTAATAAACGTTTTGAAATTGCTCATTTAGGTTATGGCAGGTTTACTGTCGAACGTTGAAATCGCGATGAAGTCGAATCATATATGAAGGACATAACACTGAAATTACGGCGAGATGCAATAAAAAATTTCGAGAATCGAAATGTCTTCTGAATCGAACTCAGTGTTTATGGTTTCCAAATTTATCGTTGATCTCGTACGAGAGTTCTTCAATGATAGCTGGGATCAGATGGCAGATAAATAATAAAACATCGTGCTTCAATTGGGGGCTGAAAAAGGCTGGCAGTGAAGTAGCTGCATTATATATGAAACTGCCCTAAAAGTTAGTCTACGCAAACAAGTCTGTATCGAGTGATAAATAAAATATTCTTCTATCCGGGGAAGTCCTACAGAATTCATCGACGAATCGTTATTTGTGCCAGGGAAATGTTATCCATGAATATCGAATATTTCTCAAACGCACGACGAGATACTCGAATAATAATTAACGTCGAATCTGTTGTGATATGAAATAAAAGAAACACGAAGAGGAGCGAGTAATAATTAATTCGATAAAAACCACGAGTCGTATCGATCAGTGGTCTCTATAGAGGAATAAATATTACGAGGTAGAATTTGATAGGAAAGGAGTTCTGTCGTGGAAGAACGAGGAAAGAGTCAGCTGTGGAACGAACGTCGAGACGCGAGATAGAGGAGGATAAGAATGAAGGTAATGGAACAAGGATTCCACATTCCGGAGCATCGATTTTCATCGTGCACTTAGTGTTTTTTATGCATTTGCGTGACTCGCAAAGTTTCTGGCTAATCAAAGAGCTTTAATGAAATTCCGCGCGATTCGGATACTACTGGTTCGTTCGGTGAAATCGCCTGAAATAATTCGACTACCGATATCAGACGCTGCCTTATTCCGTGTACAAAAAGCAGCGGGAAAAAAATGATTAAAGAATAATTGTTTGTAAATAAAGTTTTTAATCGACGAATAAAATAAACGATTAAAACAGATCGCAAAGACCTGTACGATCGTACACTTAATATCAAATAATCAGATCGTACTGGAATATTTCCTCGATAAAAATAAATTGCGATTAATAAAGAAATATGGACGATAGGAATATTTGCTTTCAAATTATACGATATTTCAGATAAAACGTTATACGAAATGATTAAAGTTTTAATTCCAGAACAATGAAACGCGAATAATATTCAATTTGAGCATCAAGTTTTATTAATATCGATCACGCGATGCTACTTCGTTCGGAAAAATAAAAATATCCAAAGCTCTTCGGCCAACGAAGAAGATTACCATAATAATTACGCACGCAAAAGTGGTGAAATTAAATATTTAACGACGAATTACGATGGAATTAAAATTCATTGAAATATATCGGATATATCGGACAACGGAATTTGTTCAAGCCAGACCTACCTACACGGAATGCGAAGAGATCGAAATTAAAGCATCGTTTAAATGCGAAACGCGTCTGACGTCTGGTTATTCGTCAAACGAAGTTGAGTATCGTTGCGAAAGAAATCGATGAAAAATCGTATCGCGATAAACCCCGAAAAAATCCGGAAAAGATTGCTAGTCGAGTGGCATCGATGAATGCGAATTAATTTTCGCTGGTGGTGCAATTAACCCTGACAAAAATTGAGTAAAAAACTAAAACAAGTGCTTTCGTTCCTCTTAGCTTTCTTCGCAAAGAATTGCAAGCTCTATTTCGATGGTCAGTTTTTCCTTTTCTTTTTTTCTTCGAAAGATTTGCGTCAAAAGACCAAATGCTAAAGACTGCGCTATCGTAATGTTACCATCTTTGATACGTCGCTTTGTTCTACGTTCTTCGCGGCGACGCGCGCCCTAGCGAAAGGGTTAACATTGGCAAGGGTGGCCTTTTCCCTTTATTTATTCGAGTAAAAACTCGCGATATAATCGATCGAGAACGCATCTTTCTCGATCTTCCGCACTTTCTTCGTGAACTTTATCTGTTCACCGGCGCAAAATGGCGTCGACCCACGCGCCGTCTATGTGTCCGTGGAAAAATTGTTGGAAAGTTTTGTTGGGAAGAATCGAGCACGCTCGAAGAACGTGGAGGAATTTAATCGTTATTAAAACTCGAAGGAGGAGTTTGTTGATTCTAACTTAGTTTCCATTTACTAGGTCTAACTTGCCAAGTCGCTGAATAGTGTTACACTTCGAAGCTCGTGTGAAAACAAGGTTGATCAGCGTGTATCGTGTCGAGGATTTTTACGATTAATTCTGCGACGGTAGAAATTAGTCCTTTGAAATTAATAGTTCCGTTTCACTCTTGGTAACACGCATCAATACACGTTCATTTCTAACCGTCTCACACATACGCATACACGTGGCAATCTACCAAGTAGAACCAACTAGAGACTGTTGGAACTGTGCTTCGACTAATCAAACGAAACCTGAACGTCGAACACAACGTACGCAACGCACAGTTCAGGCATTGTTCATTCCCTGCGTCGAAGTGAATAAAATATTACAATAAGGACGATAAAATGAGTTTACGTTTGTATGATTAGTAATTAGCCTGTAAGATTAGTAATTCGCGCAAAATTGTGATACGAAAGGGAGGTAAAATACGAACGTGAAGTGATACTATGGAATTAATTGTTCGCAGGGAAGAGGAGCGTGGAGTGTGATCCTGTCGATCAACAACGTGCAGAAATCCGACACGGAGAAGGAATACATTCTGGAAGCCCGTAACGACGAAGGGGCTTACGAATATCGTATCGTTTTGTCGACATCCACAGAACCCGCAGGTAAAACAATCGGAATCTTACGCGGTTCGATTATCGTAAACATCGTTTGATCTCACAGTGCACAAGAAAGAATCTAAGATAATACCGTACTCCATGAAAGAAAAGAAAAAGAAATGTGTGAAGAAAAAAGAAATTTCAATATTTAATTATAACGTGAATTTGAAAAAATCGCGAATTTATAATTGGAAATCGATTATGTTTATGTTACATAAATTTTACGAAGTAACTAATTTTCTTTTACGACGAGTAATGATCGTTTAATATCGTTATGAAGAAAGACTGTAAAATTGACGTGAAATGCATCGGTAGGTGTCGATCACTCTGTTAATTTTCACACATCATGTTCGTCACCACCATTTCATTCGAACGAGCATACTCACCAGCTGTCTATCGGTTCACGTCACATTCGTTGTCACTTTCACGTATACCAACCGTGGCCGTCATTACGTTTTCAATTACACCGAATATTCGAATTAGAATATTTTTATATATTTTTTCTACCGTGCCCGTTTGCGCTATGTGTTTCTAACCATTTCGATCCTTCACCGCATGCTCTCACGCAGGGCCGTTCAGTCACTTCTATGGTAAGCTCTCCGAACACATGCACGCACTAGGTAATGTCATTTTTTCAAATTATTATACGTAAGTAGTCGATGTAGCTCCGCACGCGTGGAGTTCCATCAAAACGAGAAATCGTCACGAGTAACGTGCAATCATTTAAAAGAACTCCGATTGAAATCCGAATTTTTACCATTTATCATCCACCGATTTATCAGATTTATTATATCGCGTTCAGATTTATGCGTTCATTTCGTCGTTCGATCTATCAAACGATTTGGAAATAAAGAAAACTGGATAAAAGAGAAAACAGATAAAAGGAATGGAAAAATGGTAACGATGTACCATTTTTATTTTCACTTTTTAGTCTGCAAAGTCTGTTTATCTCCTATCATCATTTCACCGTTCGTTCAAACATCGATCGAAAATCGCGTAAACTGTGTACACAGGGAATTTTTCATTCGGATTTTTTCCAAACCGTGTCATCGATTCGCGCAACTTTCACGCGATGGATTCACAGAGGAATCGCGTAAATGGAACTCCGCGTGACGGGATACGGTTATATGTGTAACGTTATGTTTGTTATTGATATCACTGCAAACATGAATGGCAGATTTCTGTACTTTTTCGAATAAACGCGACTAAATTTCTGTGCGACCGCCTCTACACGAATCAACGCTTTTTCGATATTCAACGCAGGTCTCGCGCCACCGATTTCTTTGCACAATTTTCTGCTTCAAAAGTATAAGTTTGACACACCGTAAATGTTGGCTTCGAGTGCTTGTTGACTCTTGTTACGATGTATATTTTTCATCTCACGTTCACGCTCTGCTTCGTATATTGATTATCAATGAAACATTCATTCATTGTTCTGTTTTTTCTTCTCGATCTAAATACGCAAAACACTATGATTTTCGTTTGATTTTCACATTCGTGTATTAGAGTTCAACCGACCCGTGTTCTGGAAATGGGAAAAGCTTCGTTAACGCGTTAAACGCCACGCCGATTTTACGTGTCGTTCCGTTCACGCCACAGTTAGTCGTCATGCGGGCCCTTCCAAGTACGCAAGGACCAATACACGCGCAGCGATAACGAGAAAGGAAAATCTGCCGCCGGTCCGTACGGGGACCGGTGAGGTCTCAGGGGCCGGCGCAGATTAGGACCAAAAGGTGCTAACTTTTGGTGTTGAATTCTTCGCCATCTTTGGACCCAACTTTTAGGAATTCCTGTTATAATCATTGGTATAGTATCTCCGAGTTTTATAAACACTTCGTCCACCACCGGTGGCCCACTCGACGGCCAAGTCTGGGCCTGAACGGTACGGCAAGCAAAACAAGCTGGGCACTTAACGTGTTAACGTATTAAGAGTTGGTTTTCCTTGGTTTCTTAAACGATAGCAATGGCATTCGTATTAAATGGCGCATGATGCGACTCCTGATACCATTTTTACATTTTTACATATAGTAACTCGCGAAAATATTCGGACATTAAGGTATGCCTGAATTAATTACTTAGTATTGCAAATACTTATACACGGATCAGATTAATTCAGATATACCTCGGTGTTCAAATATTTTCGTGAGTCACTGTACGTGTTTTCCACGTTTGGGCATCGCTTATCTCAATGATAGTTTAAACCTCGCGAAACAGACTACAATCGGGATGAGATTTCGAAGCAGACAAAATCCTCGAATATCGAGATATCAAATATCTTCACGCGAAATTATAGTCGATGTTGATACGTTTAGAGACTAGTATACGAAACTTGTTCGTAACGATAAAGGGAAACAGAATGATAAATTTCAACTGTGGCTTTCTGTAAAATTTCAGGCGTCGATTTAGATGCTGGTTCCATCATCGGCATTGTGGTCGGGGCCCTGGTGCTACTTCTCATCGTTTTCATACTAATCTTTGCTCGCGCGACCGGACGCTGGTGCTTCGCAGGTGAGTATCGACTAATTTCATTCGTTCAAGCAATCCTACTTCGAATCACGCGGCTCCCTGTCCCTTTTTCTGGCGATTTTTCGTGTACTTTTGTCGCTCCGATTTCACACGAGCATTACAGAATTTGATAAACAACAAACCGGAAGTAAACGCACGAGCAGGTGTATAGACTCGAGGAGAGATCGAGATTGATTAGCTCGGAATTAGTCGCTCGATCGAGGTACGAAACAACTCGAGGAGATAACATGAATCTTATGTTATTTTTATACCGATGAATAGGATCTTGCTTGATGTTATTTCAAGATGAATTATTTATTAATTTTTTAAACCGTTCTCGGCTTACAATAACTTCTCTCGTTTACCGTTCCATTTCCACCGACAAAGTGATATCGGATGACGTCGAGTCGGATTGTAAAGGATAAAAAGATTTAGTCATACGAAAGTAATTCACGAGAACATGTAAAAGTCGGGAAAAAGATAATTCCTCGCGAAGTGTATAACGATTTTGATCGAACAATGAGTGGTCGTACGTGTGTAGAAAGCAAACGATCTCTGTTAGCTGTACTCCGCCATAAAACTAAATGTCTCTTATTTTATATCTCTATATTTGTATGTATACAAATGTCTTATGTGTTGTGCCGCTACCGATAGGACAGCATGCAAGTCGGGCCAAGTAAAGAATAAGGAGAAACAGCAACAATTACCTTACGATTCCGTACTCTAGGCATGACACTGTCCAGGGGTAAGTCACCTCAGGCAGCAAACCAACACCCCTTTATTTAAAAGTATTGCTCGTTCCTCGTTCATCATCAGTTCGTCTGCTCGCCGCCACTTTTCTCCATACGCGTCAGACCATTTTTGATCAACCCTCTCACACTCTCGCATCGTTGTTTCAACTGGTCTAATCGACGAGAAAACACTTGATCGCTGTGGCAAATTTTCATACCTCGCCGAAACATGCTACCGGTAAATTTCGCAGGTTTTCGAACGCGGGGAGCAATGTTAAATGTTATCGTGGAACACTCTGCCTTGCAGTGAAACGGGAAACGAATTTGAAATAAACGCGAAAATGATTTTGAACAATTGAAATTTTGAAAGTGGAAAAATTCGAACACTCGAAGACTTGAGAATTCGGAAATCTGAGAATTAAGAAGTTTGCAAAAATTGGACAGTTTTTGGATTTTCTAAACTTCGAATATACGAAAATACGGAAATGCAGAAGTTCGGAAATTTAAATATCGAGACGTTTGAAGACTCTAATAGCACGCTGTTTAACATCGACACACAAGAAGGAAAAATTTGAAAATGAAAGCTACTTTATTTAAAAGTTGCACTAGCAATTAATGAAACAGTTTCGTTGGAATTCGTCGGGTTTGAGGATAAAAAATACTATAAAATTCGTTGGAAGCAAAAGCAAACATGAGCGAAAATTTTTTCCCAATTTTATTTTCGGTTCATTTTAAAATTCTGCTTGAGCAGGAAAAAACAGTTCGAATTTCCCGATGAACAGAAGAGAATAAATACCGTCGAAATTCGATTATTCATGTTAGGTATCTAGCATGTAATCGATACTTGCATGACGAATGGGCAAATCAAAATTTCATTGTTCAAAATTTTCCGTCCATCGGCGGATTCGTCGAACGTATTTCTGACAAAGCTATTCTTTTCTAAAAATTACCGTATTCTCATTCGATTACCTACTGATAAAATTGCACTTGAAATGTTCGACTCGAAGAATCCTCGTATTTCTCCAAAACGTTTAATTTTTCTCACATTTTAGACCACCTGCTGGCATCTTAAATTTCGCACAAAATCTACGAAAAATATAAAGCCCGCGTTACTTGTTCTCACCCCTGTACCCAAAATACCAGCACGTAGACAAAAATTGAAACAGATCCGAACACGAGTTTTATCGAAGATTAAAGACACTACGCGAAAATATGGAAATTTCAGACCGAAATAAAAAGATATTATTCGGCCAATTTCATTCACTCATGAACATACATATGTCTCGTTTATTCGTGCATGCACATTGTGCTTATGAGTTTCACAGCATGTACTAATACGATGCCTAATTTACGCTCCGTTCACTATTACTCGCGCAGTGTTTTTCAAATCCTTTTCCCTCCTGCCTACCAGCGGACAAAAGGCGCGCAATTTTCTATGACGCAAATCCTTCTAGTAAATTCAAAGAAAACGAATTAACCGGGAAAGCAAAAGCCTGAAAAGAGAGCGTACACACCGTTGGACCGTTGCATTAGAATAACACACGCGTGGAACTTGCTTCGCGTGGAGCTTAATTCCCGTGAAACTCGAATGGAAAAGCGTTCATTCGCGATCGCGTTGAACGGCTCGCAAGGGAAAGCTGTTTGAAAAACACTGACTCAGGGCACGATTGTCTGTTGCGACACGTTGTTCAAGAAATCCCCGGCGAGATCCCTCTAAATTCAAGGCCCGCGGGGCCGACTGAAAGAGAACGAGTTCCCCTTGTGACAAGCAACGACGAACAATCGGCGAAGGCAAGTGTGGTGACATTTGTTCCAAGTCAAACTAGACCAGACACCTATTGATCTTAATTATCCTTCTTCCGGTTTGCTTTTCAGCCGTGGCTATTTTCTCTTTGCCCGATTAGAACTGCAACACGATCGACCATTGCGTCGATCCGTTCCTAGATCACGAAGCATGCTCGTATCAGCCCCTTCTCCATCCACCTGAACCCTCTCGGACCTTCACGTTTCTCGATGTATTTACTGTTACCCTTAGCTGATAATTATCCGATTACGTGTCCAGAGTTTATCACGTCCACGTTTCTTCGTCATTTACTTTGCTTGGATTTGAATTTATACATTAGTGCGATGACTTGCCTGTGAATGTTTATAATTATTAACCCTAATATCTAACGATCGATCGACTCGCGCTGCATTACAAACGCCCGGGCCACGCGACGGGAACCACCATGAAAATAACGATAGAGCGTCCGATTATTCGACCCTCGATCATTTCCTCCCCACTTTTCGCTGATCGAATTCGAAAAATGGAGAAAAGCTAGTTATCGAGTTACGTACTATTCACGTACTGTTCCTTTGAGCTATTCGTTGTATATAAAATATCGAACTTCGAGTCACGCTTTTGTCAGAGTGAACGGTTCCCCGAAAACTACCTAGCCGTCGCGAGAACGTTTCCCTTTTCTCTAAATCTCGGAAATTAGAAAGCAAAGTTCCAAGCCGGCGTGCAGTTGGCGCGTTTGCGAATAACCCGAGAAGACAATACCCTGCGACGAGGAGGATCGATTGAGAGTAGACACGACGATAACGCGGAATAGAGACGACCCTAACCCTCGCGAGTATCTTTCAGAGCGCGACGGAGAATATCGATTAAAATCGGGAGAGCAAGAATATCTCCGTTGTTGACGAAAGGAAAACAAATTTTTTTTTCCGATGCACAGAAGCAGAGCTAAATAATCCAATGTAAAAGTCAGATCGAAAGACCCCCCGCCCCTACATACACCCCCGTCCGCGAGAGAAAAGACGTCGGAAAGAAATAGAACACGCGGTAAATTAGAAAAATAAAATAGAGAACAGAACGAACGAAAGAGAGATCCACACGCGCACTTTTGCCTTGACCGATCGTGGCGTTGCTTGTTGCAGCGAGGCGTCGGGGCGACGAGGAAGCTGCGAGCGGTGTCGGCGCCGGAAGCGAGGCGCACATCACCCCCGGGGACGAGGACGACGAGGATCACGAGGACCCGCGTATCATCGATGAAAAAATACCGCAGGGTGGCCAGGAGAATCCGATACACGCGAGCACGGAATACGTGAACGGGCGCACGGACGTGAAGGAGCCGAAGAAGGACGAGAAGACGGACACGCCTGTTTAAAGACCGATCATGCGTTCGATGATCGTTCCTTCTTCAGCCGCGGAAATAAGCTGTCACCTCTCTCGTTTCGGTTCCACGACCCTTTGCAACCGATCTTTAATCACGTGAAATAACGTGCTCCCGGACATCCTGTGTCCCGTGGTGCACGTGAAGTCGTGCCGGTTGGATCGATATCGCCGAGCTAGATCGGGTTATCCGAAATGGATTAACGCGCTTTGTTTAATCGTAAAAGTGAAACCGAGGAAATCGAGTCGCAGCCAGAAATTATATCGCTGTTTAGATCGATGTTTACCATTGTCAGGCGAAATTATACGATTCAGATTATGCCGTGATTCGCATATAAATGGCTATTAAGCGATACGATGATGTACGACGTTAGAAATTTAATAGCCGATCGATGCTTCTTTATTGCGAAGGAAATTGGATATTTTATCGACGCCGATTCGATCCAACAACGCCAGGGGACAAAGGCGTCGCGCGAAATTTTTCATCCGATTTCGAGGCTGCTCCATTCGAGCGAATCGAATAATCGCAAATCGGGACGTTACGTCACGACACGCGGGAGAGATTGCAAAGGGTTGGAAATTCAAAAACGGAGAGGTGCACGTGTCGTGCCTCCATCTCGCACACGTGTTCATCCCTGAGTCTCGCCACACGAATCTCATTTTAGTACACTAAGACGAATCTCCTTTTTATTTTTATGTTTATTTTTATTTCTATTTTTATTTTTCTTCTTCCCGTTTCTTTCATCACACGACTATTGCGTATTTATTTACAAGCGACACACGAGTATTAATAATTTCGTCGTCGAATCTGCCGATTTCGCGCGACAACGTGTCAAACTGAATCTCGCGATAGATCTGATCCGCTTATCCGTTCCGCTTCCTTGTTCTTCTACGATTTCGTCTGTTTTCGATGGCAACCGGTTGTAGCCGGAAACAAGATTCTCCGCTCGTGAGAAATGATCGGGAACGATCCCTCAATGCCTCGTTACGCAGTCGCTGAGCGCGAACGATTTGGTCTCCCTGTAACCGCTGTGTAACTTTTGTAAATAGCATTTCGACGCGACCCACTGTCGTCCAATCTGCGGTTTTTACCGTCTTCTCTTTCTTCTCGACGACACATTACACACAGAGACAGATACACCCGCGCGCACACACATACCGGAGAAAATTCGCTTCGATCGAGTTATTCACACTAATTACTAATCGTACAACAAAGCGTCGTCATGCGATCGCGTAGCCTCCGGAGGATCGGTCTTTTAACGAAGAGAACGAGGATTATAGCAGTCGTTTCTTCAACGAGAAATTACTCAGCGATAGTTCGTTAAGATTTATTGTCAACGACCATACTCGTTCTCGTCCTCGGGGAGTCTGAACGATCGGAATATCGTTAAGTTATCGTTGTTAGGTATCAAGTGTTTGCGAGCTGTCCTCGAATTATAACGTTCTACTCTAAGCGAATCCGCGTAAAATCGAGTTTCCCGAGAGAGAGAGGGAGAGAAAGAAAGAGAGAATGCCGATTAGGGTTCGAGAGAGAGAGAGAGTGAGAGAGAGAGAAAGAGAGAAAGAGAGGGAGAGAGAGAGAGAGAGACTGTCGTTGCGGTTTTCGCCACGCTCTCACGCGAACGAAACGTGTCGTATACTCGAAGGCAACGTCTAGTAATTAACGAGAGAGATCAAGAGTAGAGGAAGCGCAGGTGAGGACGAGCCGAGTTGTGGTGGGACGGTCTCATTATGCTAGCGCGAACAAATTAAATTTTGTAGTCGAGATTTTTCTAATGGGCGCACCAGCGTTGGAGAAAACCGGGGGTTGGGGCTGAGAAGGGTGAGGGGGTCTGTGACAGGGTCGGGGTGGGACGGGGAAACCTAGAGCAAATGAGAAAACGGAGAATAGAAGAAACGGTATCGTAGGGATGAATTGCGCGTGCACAACAAACGGAAGTTCTCACGCCCGGTAATTCGCAATCTTTTTTTCGCCATTCTTTGCGACGCCGTGAGTTTGTTTAAACATTTACAAACGTTAGAAACGGTGGAGTTTCCTAGCGAATTAAACGTATAGCAAGAAACGAATTCGTGGACGGATGAAAGCTTCCTGTTTCCAACGCGTTAAATCGACTGAATTTTTACAAAGCTCTTTCGGCACCGGGTCCCTTTCAGCTCGCGGCCGACGGGAGAAGGAATTATCGCTGTGAGAAGAAACGCTTTACGTGCACGTGCAAGGGAATCTGTCGAAAAAAGAGAGAAATTAAAAAGGGAAGGGAAAATAATAAATAACGCCGTTACCAAGTTCGAAAACAAAGAGGAAAGAAGAAAACGAACACATTCCACGATGTAGCTTTCGTTCTTATGCGAACTGCCCTTTTAATCCAGGTGTATATACACGCGCGTAGTGACTCACACGCGTATGGTATCTCGCGTTTTGTAATTTAGATGATTTTTTGCGGAACAGTATTATTTACGCGTTCTAAACGATTCGGCGGCCGAAGAAACGCCGCGTTCCGCTCCGATTTTTCAAACACCGGAACGCGACCTATCGCAAACACGACTATATCCTTTTTATGTGAAACGCGGTATAGATCTTGCACGCTCAATCGACGAATCAACGACTGAACAGGTGGGAAGTAACCTTTATAATACTCTTACAATACTCGGACGTGTCCCGAACTCGGTGATTCCACGATGGTCTTACCTTGTAAACTCGAAAACGTTGCTTTTATTTCTCGACCGTTGACATCAAGAAATCGTACCGTGCCGTTTTAATCCTTTTTACCGAAGCTTTTTAACCGGGTTTTATAACGAAATTTTTACTTGGAAATATATAATGTCGACGCCATTTTCTCTTCAGCCGGAAGTGCATCGACTCACCGTGCATCTACGTCTCTCGAGGTCGCGCGACAAAGACTGCAAGTATTTCTCGATTATCGAATTTTTCTATCCGGAGAGAGTTTTTTGCCGGAATTTTACAATTCGCGTCGCGTACTCGTCGAGGAAACCACGATCAAACGACGTCTGATTCGAAACGCGATTCGTAACGACTTTTGATACCAAGCTTTTCGTACGACCGATACGAATCATCCGACCGCACAGCCAAGTTCATTAGCGTCGCGGTGTCCTCCGGAAGTAGAGACCAAGCCACGTCGTTTCCCTTTCGTTCCCGACAGAAACAGCGTTCGCCAGTGTGTTTTTCGCTTTAACGACTTTTAACGAGATTACAAGGGACACGGACTCCCTTTTTCCTTTCTCCATCGCGACCATAGTTCGTCCCGACGTCGGTTCTCGCGTATCAACCATCTCTCTCGATCGATAATCCTTTCTTCTTCCGTCAACGGTGGACGCTTCTAGCAGGTTCGATCGTTTAACAGCTTCGCACCGCTGTCTCTGTTTGAGAAGAACTCGGGAAAAGAGGGAAACTCGTATCCAACGACAGTCCTGACGGAATATTCATCGCGCCAGAGTCGTTCTTCGTAGACACTAGTAGCAGGAATTATCGATCACGACTGTCTCGATCGCGAGAACGCATGCGAACGATTCGTCGAGTGTTAATTCGAAATTAACGAAACGTCGTTCGTGGTTAGAAAAGGATTGAAACGAAAAAAGGTAAAAGAATAGGGAAAAAAAGAAACGAAGAAGCAACGAGACGGTATATAGCGTAGAGTAACCCGAATGGCGAGAGAACCGCGACCGGAATACTTTTCGACTAGTGAGTTTTGTAATTTCATTATCATTCCCGTCGACAATAAGTGTTCTTTGTACTTTTGTACGGATAATCTTTGCTTAGCTCGGTTAATGAGAAGGAGAATTCACGCGAGGAATACAGGAGATGAGGGGAAAAGCGAAATTATGATTCTCCGCTCGTAATCACTCACACGTGCACACGACGTACACGGTAACACGCGTTACACGACGGTCACAGTCACAGAGGGAAACAAGTTCACGAACGTAGGTGCCCACGGTGTCGTAAAGGTGAATTATTAATTAACAATAGAAGCAAGAATAGCAAAGAAAGATAGATAGAGAGAGGAGAAAAAATGAAGAAAGAGAGAAAGAAAAGAAAGAAGGGGGAGGATGAAGAGAAGCAAGAGTGTCAAACCCTGTATCTGTCACTCGTTGACGAAACGTTTCCGAATTCTGCACATACACTCCTTCACTATTTCCATATGCGATCGTGTTTTCACTTACAAAGAGGGATCGTCTCGTCCAACGAGTTCTCGACAATCCGGTTTATAGGAAGAATTAAGCTCTGCTAATGAGGACTAACTACGAAAATTTAATAAATAGACGAGAGGAAAAGAAACGATCCTAACGAAGGAACTGGTCGGACGAAGACGATCGAAATTACGTGTTGTATATATTAAATATATATATATATAAAATAAATAAATATATATATATAAATATATTATAAATATTATGGTACGAGATTGAATATAATAGTAATGAATATATTATATATTCTGTGTCGAGGGCACTTGGCTTGCAACTCGTAAATATTAACTGAATACTTATTTATCCACTTGCACTCCAATTGCCGAGCGACCTATCGTTATCCGTGAATTTTTTGAGAGGAAAACTATTATCGGAAAGAATAATGCGATTATTATACAACTTAAGCGCGAGTTTTAAGGGAAATTCGCGGGGAACGAACGAGATGGGAGATCATCGTCCGGTCGTGGATTGCGAAAACGCGACCGGGTGAGAATAGTGCGAGAAACGAGACTAGAGCGTTGGATATATAAGAAGTAAATCGATTAAACGCGAACGCACGTTGCCAATTAAGTACTATTTGTGTCGTGTTCGCGATGTCGAGGCGTTGTTTGTGCCGTCAAAGAGGCTGAGCCGTATCCATATGTCAATGTGCCGTGAGCAACGCACGTTTGTACACCCTTTGTTCTGCTAAGTTCGTGGACAGGTTCGGAAGGAAGGTAGAAAATGGACAAAAATTGGAAACGAAGATGAACCTAATACATACTTCTCGAATTTCTTTCGGTATGCATTTTTTCCCTTAGATAGTATTTATGAGATATCTATCGCCTTAGGTTAGTTACTGTACAAAGAACTGACATTATACTGCCAATTTATTTATAATAGTCCCGTTTAGTAGAGCAAAATGGCGCGTCTTCGTGCGTTCCCAGCGAATCATATGTAACTGTGTGGTATGTGTTATGTGTATGAACAATTAAACGTATCAGTGTATGTAATAGAGCTTAACGAAAACGGAAAGAGACACGCGTCTAACACGCATAATAAACAGACAGGCGAGAGATGACACGTCGAGACGACCAGCGAGTCCAGGGCCGTGCGAAGTTTTATACACGCATGTAGCATAGGTAATTCGAAGCGTTTTTGTAAACCGGTCCCGAGGAACCGTGTTCCTTTTTGTCTCTTTTTCCCATTTTCACGATCGTTATGACGAAGACGACCATTCTCGGTGAACGGATATCTCGGAAATCTCTGCAATCTCGCGGTTCATCTGCGAATGTTAAATCGGTATTAAATCACCTGAAAAACCGATACGTGTTTCTCGTGTTTTATAAATTATAACTCCCACGGCCGTGTCTAACTCGACAGCCTCTAATAACAGCTAAAATCTAATAACAGCTGCATAACGCGAAAAGAATTTCACGGGGCAAAAATAAAATGCCACGACTCTCGCTTATCGCATAAACTCGATAAATAATTCCAATAGTCTCGATCCGCTAATCTCGAAGCACCGTCCCTAAGTACTCAACGTGATCGTACAAGTTCCGGAGAACCAGCCGGAACGTGTACGGTCCCGTCGAGACCAAGATGGTCGTCTTCAACGATCGCAACAAGTTGCAAGCGAAATTACGACGAAACTGCGAGTAGAAAAGTCAAAACAAACGGGGATTCGCAAATTTTGCGAGAAACCACTTTCGAAAGAATCATTGCCAAAGCATCGGCCGAAATGCCCGGAAATTTTTCACGACGATTCGAGAGACGCGGAGGACCTTTCCGTTTCGCTCGAATCCACTCTCGGTCCTACTCGTACGCGCGAGAAACGAACTTGCGGAGGAAAAATTGGCTGCTGTGTGAATGGAAGAGAGATGGAGCAAAGGCGGAGGTACGAAAACACGAAGAAATGGCGGGCATTCGTTGCCTTTCGCGGTACAAAGCGTGTGTTCGAGCTGTTCAGCCCGCGCGCAGCGCGACTACGACAATGGAAACACGTCGAAACGATGATCGATTAACGCGAAGAGATCGAAGGATGGGAAATAGAAAGAATGTTTTAAGGGGTAATACGCGCGGATATACGTTGATGTACAAAAAATTCCTTGCGGTACATTTTAAAACGATACTAAGCCACTTATTTCGTAATTCATTTCTATGGTTCATTATTTGTAACGGTTAATTATTTAAAGTGCAACGATGATCATGCTGCGATTACACTTGTATACATACGTGTATTAAGGTATATATAAGTATCTACGCTCTCGCCCGATCATTTTTTAATTAATCTTTTTCTTCTCTCTTTTCCACCATTGTCTAAATAG